CTCAATTTAATGTGCACTATTTCTGGCAGTCTGCATAGGCCCTAAGTGTGGTGTAGTGGTCAAAGTGTTGGACAATGGTTTGGAAGACCAGGGTTTTAGTCCTCACTGAACTGGTGACCCTGTGCCAGTTACACTTTCTCAGCTTCTCTCACAGCTCTGTTGTCAGGATGAAGTTGGAAGGGAAGGAAGAGAGCCATATATCCTGTCTTACCTTGAAAGGCAGGATATAAATGAGAATAAAGGTCATTACGAGCCAGTATGGTGTAGTGGTTTGAGCACTGGAGACCAGGGTTCGAATCCTGACTTATAGAATCATAGGGTTGGAAGAGACCCCAAGGGCCATCCAGTCTAACCCCCTGCCATGCAGGAACTCATAATCAAAGCACTCCTGACAGATGCCCATCCAGCCTCTGTTTAAAAACCTCCTAAAAAGGAAACTCTAAAGCATTGAATTCCATAACTCGGCCATGGAAGCCGATGGCAAGTCCTTAAGCAAGTCGCACACTCTCAGCCTCAAAGGAAACCAAAAGCAAGCCCCCTCTAAAGAAACTTGCCAAGAAAACCCTGTGATAGGATCTCCTTAGAGTCGCCATAAGTCACACTCTCTCAGCCTCAGAGGATGGCAAGGGGCGGGCAAGCCTCCTCTGAAGAAACTTGCCAAGAAAACCCCATGATAAATTCGCCTTAGGGTCGCCCTAACTCTGAAACGATTTGGAAACACACGACAAAGGGTCATCATTATATGACAGGAACAGTTACATGACAGAAAAACTTTTTGTCTGGATGTGTTTACAGAACTGAGCAGCCATATACATACTTATATTAGGATATTTGGGATGCAGCGAAGGCGGGAAAACGCTGAGGTAAAAGGAAGTTCCGCGGACGAGGAACAAAGATGAAAAGTCCCTAAAAGAAGGGCGGAGGTGGGGAAAAAACCCTTGAAGGCTGGTGGCTGGCTGCATCCACACTACAGAAATAATCCGGTTCGACCCTGCTTTAACAGCCCTGGCTCAAGGCTACGGAATTCTGGGAAGGGGACTTTGTTGTGGCGCCAGAGCTTCGCTTTTGCCATTGCTATCCTCTGAGGCTGAGAGAGTGTGACTTCCTCAAGTGAGTTTCCACAACCGAGCCAGGATTCGAACCCTGGTCTCCAGAGTCCTAGTCCTAGTCCAGTGCTCAAACCACTGCGCCACCATGGCTCACCACAACGACCCGTCTTCACATTTCTATCCCGCCTTTCCCCTTCATTCTGGTGCCAGGTCTTGCAGACTCTCATCAGATCCAGAATGTCATA